GTGGCCAAAAGAAAGTCCTTCGCATGGTTTCATATGTTTTCTCGAAGCCGAGGTGGCCAGCAATGGGAGAATCATGTGCATCATGAAGTAGGAGAGCGCGAATGTTAGGATCATTCGGGATACATAAACGTGTCTGTCCAGCGATGTTAATCCACAATAGGTCATCAGCAACAAAATAACGATCAGAGGGACTTGCCTCGCGGCAGCTTTCGTAAAGTGATCCTAACTTAAGGTCATATGGGTAACACTTTATCAGGCGCTGCCGTAAGCCTGGGTCCAAACTTATTTCTATGGAGTTAATCTGCTCACTGGCGGGATCCTGCGCCTTGTGGTCAGGCCTCCTTGAGAGAGCGTCGGGGACGATGTTGTCTTTGCCTGGTTTGTACTTGAAGTTGAAGTCGTATTCTTGTAGGAGTTCCATCCATCTGGCCTGTCTCCGAGTCAGGTTTGGCTGGGTTGGAAAATGCTGCAATGTGGCATGGTCAGTATAGACAATAAAATGAGATCCATCCAAATAGTATCGCCATGTTCTTAAGGCGTGGACGACAGCTAGTAATTCTTGCTCATGGGTTGGGTAGTTTCGTTCTGCAGAGCTCAACTTTCGTGATGTAAAGGCAACAGGGCGCGATTCGCCCTTGTGATCTGTTTGGAACAAGACTGCACCAATGGCGAAACCTGATGCATCAGTTTCGACGGAAGTTGCTAGGGCAGGGTCAAAAATTCTGAGTACGGGTGCCATGGTGACTGCCTGCTTCAGTCTTTCAAAGGCCTCTTGGTGAGGCTTGCTCCAGTAGAATGTTGTAGTTGAGCCTAACAGATCAGTAAGGGGAAGCGCGATATCAGCATAGTGGTCGATGTATTGATGATAGAAGTTTGTTAATCCAAGGAACTGCATGACGTGGCGCTGTGTTGTGGGTGTTGGCCATTCTCTAACTGCCTTAACCAGTGCTCCGTTTGTTTTGAGTCCATCTTTGGATATAACATGGCCTAGGAACTCTGTCTCCTCTTGCATAAATGAACACTTGGAAAGCTTGCAAAAGAGGCCTGCCTTGCGTAGGAGCCTAAGAACGTTTCTGATGTCTTGTAGATGTTGCTCTTTGTTATCAGAATAAATCAGTATATCATCTAGGTAAACTACGGTGCATTTATCCAGCACAGGATCCAACACGTTGCGCATCATGGCTGAAAAGGCGGCAGGTGCGTTGGTGAGTCCGAAAGGGACGACGTTAAACTCATAGTGACCGTAGCGTGTTCGAAATGCCGTTTTATGTCGGTCGTCTGGATGAACGCGCATTTGATGATATCCGGATAGTAAGTCGAGCTTTGTAAAAAATCGTGCTGTCCTGAAACGATCTATTAGCTCGTCGATTCTTGGTAGTGGATGGCGATTCTTACGGGTTATTTTGTTTAATCCTCTGTAGTCTACACACATCCTCAGTCCGCCATCCTTCTTTTTAACGAATAAAACTGGTGCTCCGTAGGGTGATGTACTTGGAGAGATGAAGCCTTTGCGCAGTAGTTCTGTGAGTTGTGTTTTTAGTTCGTCTAATTCAGCAATTGATAAGCGAATGACTGGTCTTACAGGTGGATCGGTATTATTTTCAGTCTCGATTCGCATGCTATCGCCACGATCCTGAGGGAGTCCGTCCGGTAGTGTGTCAGGAAAGAGGTCTGGAAATTCTACTTGGACAATTTGTTGAATCGATTCGGGTAGTGTTGAGTCTAGGTTTGTTGGTGGTGAAGTGGTTCTTACTTGGGCCAAGAATGTTGTCGTTTCGGGTTCTAATGCTAATGCAGCAAAGTTTATGGCAGAAAGGCAATTTTGACGAGCGGAGGAGGAGGTATGCCCTCGACATTCCCATAGTATGTGTTTACCATCGTGTTCAAAGTGTAAATCGTTAGTGCGCCAGTTGATTTGGGGATTGACTGCGGTTAGCCAAGGTTTCCCTAGGATGAGATCATATTTTTTCGAGGGGTAGATGATACTTTGAATCTTTTCACCATAGGAACCACGTTCAAGGGTAACAGATGCGGTTCCTGGGGACATGACTGCTGTGCCATTCGGATGAATGATAGGGATAGGGTTCGCGTTGTCTATGATAATGTTATGTTTTCTGCAAAATTTTGAACTCAATACATTTCCTTCTGCTCCACCATCAATGAGGATTCGCGCAGGGTGTCCGTTGACGGCCCCAATGAAGGTTAGTAGTCGTCTCGCATTGGTGTAGACAGCGGACAGGGATTGGAGGTGTGTGGCATGACGACGACGACGACGGGGTGGTTTACTAGCAAGGTGTTCGTGGGAAGTAGAGGGGGTAGGTGAATTTTCATTTGTGTCTTGGTTTGAAGATGATTTGATTTCAGTGACAGATGACGCGGGATGGGAATCGGGGGAGAGGTGATTTAGGGAATCCGGAGGAATGGAAGTGGTGTGGTGCAAGGTGCTTTTAGAGGGTAATGATAAGAGAGAGGATAGAGAAAATATGGGAGAGGAGCGAGAAGGCATAATCATGGATTTAGGAGAACTAGAGTTTTTATTACTGTTGTTACTACTTAAATCCATATGACTACGCCCTCTAGAGCCCAGGACTCGAGGGTTGGTGGTGAGAGCGAGGCTGGCCTGGTCTACAGCTCGCTCTCCTCTTTTCCCGAGTCGTCGTAGTCGTCTTGTTGTTCCAGGTTGTTCAAGTTCCTAGTCACGCGGCAGTTCTTGGCCATGTGTCCCTTCTTTCTGCAGCGAAAGCAAGCGCCTGCGCGGCGCAGTTTTGTTCTGTCATTTTCGGTGAGCTTGGAGAGTGGGCTGTTGTTAGTCGAGGGGGGGCGATGGAAGTTCGCTAAGCCTGTGGAGTTTGTACTCTGTAGTAGGAAGTTATTGAACATCATCTGCATTGCGTCTAGGTCCATCGGGGTCGGTGTGGGTTGGCTTGTTTGGTTTGTCATGATGGGGGGTCTAGAGGAATGTAAAATGCTGTGGATCATCGTAGCCTGCTTGATGGCCTGGTTGAGAGTCTGAGGCTGGCGAAGGAGGACTTCCTTGCTTGTGTCTTCTACAAGGCCGTAGGTATAATGGAGGACAAGCCATGATTCCTCCAGTTTGGGTGTGAGGCGTTGGAGGCGGCGGAATTTGGCAGTGTATTCCGCTACTGAGGATTTACCTTGTTTTAATTGAACCAGTGCTTTCTGGGCTGAAGAAGCCGTGTCAGGGGGTGTGAAGTTTTCGATGAATTTACTTCGGAAAGTGTCCCATGGTGTATCAATTGTCATTTCCGAGTCTCGCCACCATGCCTTGGCGTCTCCTTTCAGGTTGACAACGGTATATCGGACCCAACGGGAGTGGTTAAGCTCCATGATCTCGAAGTACTCTTCTTGGTTCTCCAAGAAGTTGAGGACCGCGACAGCGTCGACATTTCCCTCGTATGGTTCTGGTTTGGTAGGTTTTATCACAGCAGCCACCGTGCGGACATGGTCATTAAAGGCGGCAGCGCTAGAAGCACTATCCTGTCGGGATTCGAGGAAGGTTTGCACAGCGTTCTGCACGGATAGGCTGGTACTGGCATCAAGGTTAAGAGCTTTCAAGGAAGTGGTGAGGTTGTCCATGGCAAAAAAAAAAAAAAATCAAATGCAGGGGTAAATTTTTAAATTTTATCTAGGAAAATATCAGAGGGATCTAGGGAAAAATATCAGAGGGAAATATAAGCGGTTTCTGGCGGGGTCGGTGGTTCGATGAACCTTTGCTACCATGTAAATAGTAACAATCAAAGGTGATCTTAGGTGGAATCGAAGGTCAAAGGATACTTTATTTGGCTATAACGTAGTGGACTATTTATACTGATAATTAATAGGGTTGGGGCTTGGTGTCTTGGCACTTGGGCTTGGCGTCTTGGCGCCTGGGGTGCGCGTGATAGTTGAGCCCTCCTCAAAGGTTTGAGTCAGTATTGTATAACACGTTTGCAAGGAGAAAAAGCTCTGAAAAGGCAAACGAGGAAAAACGCAAGAACCAGACCTGAATAAAGGAGGTCCCTCGTTCATACCCGTAGCCGACAGCGTGATTTGCTCTTTGAAAGCGATGTTCAAGGGGGCCAGGGAGATTCGAAATACGAACGTCCTGTTTGGTGAGAAAGATGCGAAGATAGGATGGAGGAACGAGGATGAGGATGTCCACTGAACTGTCCAAGACTTGTACCACAGTTTGGTGCTGAGGGAACTGACAGAGAAATGGAAGATGTCTTCAGAACCACAGCATCGATCTCAAGGTACATTGTTTGCCGCTTTGTCAAGTCAATCGAGGAACTCGGCAGGACTGAAATCTGGAACAAACGTTGCAAAGTCACCGTCAACTGGGAAAGAGGCAATGGCATCACCACTGTGAGCGAATGCGCCAGGGGACGCAGCTATGTTGGGAGACATAGAAGTAGCAGAGGTGGATTCTTTGACTATCCCCAGGGACAACGACAAGCAACAGACGTGAAGGCGATCAGGACTGAGGCAGGTCGACGGGTGGTGGCAAGCTACTGACAGCACGTAGAATTGGCGGTGATGGAGCACTTGGGAAGTTGTAGATGTTTGCTGATTGAGGACTGCGGCTAAAGGATGACTTTCGCGCACAACAGGCCAAGTAAGGAGTAGAGCCGTACCACAGGTCCTTAGAGGACCATGGAAGCCTACTCAATGAACAGGATGCTGTACTGTGGCAGTACGACGGTGCGGCTACAGCCGATTATTGGATACCGCTTTATTTGCGGTCCCAGTAATGGAGTAACTCGTTTATAGAGCTAACATCTAAATAAATCCTACATGACCTCGTGGGTCCTCGTTATCAAAAAAAAAAAAAAAAAAAAAAAAAAAAATCACTTTGGCTTTCTTTTATATGCTGGCCAATTTTCATTAAATTAATCCTCTTTTTTTTTTTTTTTTTTTTTTTTTTTTTAAAGGATCAATAAAGTTTATAATACATTTATATAATCGTGGATGCTTATAAAAAAATACAGCAATGAAGATCACTTGGTCATAACACAATCAGCCACCATAGTGGAGATTTTTATTCATTTATTTGGTTCAGGTAAGAAGTATAGAGTATATTTGACTATTGAGGAGTAGGTTATCGAAAATGATAGTGCGTTCGTTACATATTTTGTTATGGTGGTATCAGTATGGTTCTTGAAGTTTTTTTTCTTTTGGAATCTACTGCAGAGTACAGTGAGACCATTGATTCTCGCTTAGTTCGACTTGGCTTGGTCACTCTTGACTCGAATTGATGATTCAGAGTCCTTCTTCTTGCGACCAAAGCCTAATCCAATGACAACAACTGCTGCTGAGACCACAGCTGTAGTCTTACAGATACTCCAGAGCAGACCGGGATATTGCTCTGGCAGTTCAGGTCGTTTCTTCTCACTCTGCACTGTTTCAGACTCGTGTAACTCATGCCTGGATGAAGACGAGGAGGACCCTGATGGACATTCCTCAGTGAGTTTCTTGAACGCCTCATCATCACCCGATTTATCCTCTTTCTCCTCCTCTTCCTTTTCCATCTCCTTCTTCTCTACCTTCTCACCATCATCCACTATCCTTGTCATTATCTTGTTAAACATCGTGAGTCCTTGCGAAGGTGCCTCAGATCGCGGTGTCAGTGGGGATTCAAATGATTCTGGCTGCTGGCGGTAATGCTCCTCCAGATGCAGCTCTTCTTCAATCTCTTCGTCCTCGAGACTTGATTGATCCTTAGGAGCGGTTGCGTTTGAAGGTGTCAGAGGTGGGGATGGAACTTGGGAATATGATGTGGCTGCACCAGTTGCGCCGCTGATAGCAGAGGCATCTGTTTGGACTCCAAGGGGAGTTCTGGGAGCCTTAGTGCTGACATTATGTTGAGACAGGGTCGAAGGAAGGGAATTAGGCTTGATATCTATTAACGAAATGAACAAGACAACATCGATGTAGATGATTAATAGTTTTGTCGGAGACAGTAAAATTAAACACAAAAAAAAAACTATATATGAATATTATTGTAGATAAACACATTAATGTGTACATAAACACACAAACAATGAGAGCAATTCAGATAACAGAAGAGCATACGCGTGTACTTCATGTCAAAATGTAATGCAGGGAAATGTGTGAACGAGCTTTGAAGGAGGGTGATTTTGGGGTGGGAGGGCAGAGGGAAACCAACTTCTCACTCTCCCATCATGTGTGCATGTGTTTATACAATAATGTAATCAAGACCTTTGTCCTCATTGGCGATTTTTTTTTTTTTTTTTTTTTTTTTTTTGGCCTGATTTCATTTGATTTGATTTGATTTGATTTGATTTGATTTGATTTGATTTGATTTGATTTGATTTGATTTTTGGTTTGGTTTGAGTTACCTTGGTCAGGAGTAGGAGCTGTTGTATCATGTTGGTCGTCGTGTTCATGCTGGGGTTGATGTTGCTCTTTATCTTGTTGGGGTGCCACAACATCAGCGGCCACATCATGACCAATAATACCCTCCCTGTCATCGTCTGACTGTGTATCACTCTTGCTGTTGTTATCACTACTGTCTTTTGATCGGTCTTGGTCATTTTCAACTGCGCCTTTTAAATCCAATTCCTCTGTGAATGTGTCTGAAGGGGCTTGCGGGTTTACAAGATCTGGAAGTTGAGGGGCTGTAGTTTCACTCACACTAGATGCTGTTGTGGCAGGAGCAAGGGATGATGAAGTCTCCTCATTTTCTCTCGCCGCATTCTTAGAGGTGAGGCTAGTGGAATTGATCTTGTCTTCTTCATGGTTCAAGATGGCTGGCAAAGGAGTGCTTGTTGTGGCAGTGACGCTGCCTTCGCTCTGCAGACTCGAACTTCGACTGCGATTAGGTGAAGTGAGTTGAATCTGCTCGACAAGGTCAACAATAAGTTCATGGTTCCAATGGCCCTGATCATCTTGAACTTGTTTTCTTTGTGAATCGCACTTCCATTCATCATCGATCACAAACTTGAACTGATATCGGTATTGGCGAGTCATCGGTAGAATAACCCCATCTTTGCTCAGCTGGTGATGATAAGGCGGGTCATTTTGAAAATCTCTGAGTTTATCATGGAGTGTGTTGTTGGATGAAGTAGAGGCATTTGAGGATGATCGTGAGCGTCCAAAGAAGCGGGCTATACGCTTGGAAAAAGTAGGGGTGGTCAGGGAGGAGGTATTGTGCTCAAGTTCATGATGATTGAGCAATTCGTGGTGGAGATATCCGTCTTCGTTGATATTGTCTACATCTTCAACCTCCTGCACATTGAGATAAATCTCATACAGAGCATCTGTTCCTGGGACAAGTGTCATGGGTAATTTCTCCCATGGTCCGTGCCCAGGAATTGACCAGGTGCCTGCCACAAAGGCATTACCACTTTGGACAGGATGTGGCCAAGAGATGTGGATGTCATGCTGGGGGACCATGGTGACTTTGTGCTTCTGTTTCTGCTGCTGCTGCTTCGACGCAGGTGTGAGGGAAGAAGAGGATGAGGATGAGGACAAGGAAGAGGAAGCGGAAGAAGAGGGAGCGATGGGAGTAAGAGAGGGAGAGGGAGAGGAAGGATTTTGTGATGAAGAGGATTCGGGAGCAAAGGAGGCTGGGTTTGATTGTTTTCGTCTTTTGAGGAAAGAGGGAAGTCTGATATGGTGGTGATGATGATGGCTTAAAGAGGTGTCAATTGATCGGTGCGACTGTTGTGTGCTATTGCTGTGAATGCTACTAGTTTCCACACTACTACGGCGGAGGATACTCAATGAGCTATTTGTGCTTTGGGCGCTTCGCAAGCTACTTGCTACACTTCCACTACGCTCGCGACCTAGTCGCAGCTGTGCTTGCTGCTGCTGCTGCTGCTGCTGTGGGAGAGGGCCAAGGAAAGCTGTTGTCGTCATCATGCTGGTGCTGATCATACTTTTAATATCTCTAAAACCTTCGCCTGTTTCCTTGTCTTTATCCCTTGTTCTGATGTGCTTTTCTTTCTTTCCTTTGCCATGCATTGCCGAAGAGGGTTTTTTACTTTTATTGGAAGTGCTACTGATAGAGTTGTTCTTGCCTGCACCCGTGTTGTCATAGGATTCGACGAAGGCAGTAGGGGAGGTTGGGCCATGAATAGGGCGCATCATTTTTGATTATTGTGCTAGGAGTCGGTATGGCTGAAGAATCTTTCGTGATTTTTACGGGAGAAAAGAAAAAAAAAATCTGTGGGGCTGATTGGATGATCCACAGTAGGTTGACTAAAAGAAAAGGAAAAAAAAGTCTTGAGATGATGGCGACGATTATTGATGTGTGCTGCTTGTGTGCGTTGTGTTGTTTGGAAGACAGGTCACTTGAGTTTAGAAGGGGGAAAAAAAAGAAGGAATGGCTTTATATATGTTTAACAAGCATGCATCTTAGAAACGAATATGAGTTGAAAAGGGTACGTGCGAGCCTGGTTTTTTGTCTGGCCCGGGGACAGATAGGGTTCGACTTGGGGGTTTGGATGAGCAAATTGAAAGATCATCCATCTTATCTTCTTCCTTGTGGGTGCCTTAATCTCTTTCACTCTTGCATATTGAATCATATTCTACCAGACATACAATGGAAGTCTCCCAGTTTGCTTCCTTGCATAAGCGGGTGAACAAACCACACACCATAGAGTTTGATAATAATGGGAAAACTGTTCTATTTTTTTTGTAGCAATGGAACAAATAAAACGCTTTTTGCTATTTTCCTGGGCACTGCCTAATTCATTTGGCTTTTCTGTGGAGCGTTAGGATAAAACTGATGAGCGTAGTTGTCTAGATGTTTGCTGCAAGCATACTGAGCGAGTATGAATAGACAATTCCCACACCCCTTCGATTTTCTGAGCATTGACCCCCATTGAGGTGTCCTAATGGCTGAGCATGGGCCTCCGCAGTTGCTCGTGGATGAATGAAGATGAAAGAAAAGATTCTGTTTGGTTCTGTTCCATCAGGGGTGTGGAGAAGCAGAGACACAAAAGAAGGCGTTGGACGGTACGATGGTAGACGTTGTTGAACATGTCAGCATTAATCAATTGGTCAATCGAGCATGGACCATGCCCTCACTCTTTAGTAACAATAACAAAGAAAATATACACGCCGAGTTCAAGTCTTTTTTTTTTTTTTTTTTTTTTTTTTTTTTCGCTTTGCTTTGCTTTGCTTTATACAAGATGACATGCAATAAACTATATTCATGCGTTCAAATATTAACAAAAAAAAAAAAAAAAAAAAAAAAAAACCAACAGGTCCCGTCGTCTAGCAGTGGATGATGAGGAGCTGAGCAATTTTTTCAGCTGTTTTTAAGTTGCATAATTCTTTGACATATCTCCTCTACATGAACAAAAAAAAAACACATGTTAGCTCCGAGGAAGAGCCCAGTTCACTAAAACTGCATGCTACGCAGATCATTAAAAAAAAAATACTTACGTGCTTGTTGCGGACTGTTGGCCTCAAACTCATATGTTTTCGTCTCTCGATCGCCTCGTATTACGATCAACTTGAAATGACTACGCGCTTTTTTGCTCTGTCGACAGTCATGAATCATATTTTTGACATAGGATGATGTCTTGCCTGAATCAAAGAGCAGCATCTTCGTTGACGAGGGCATAATCCGGATGTAGTCACCATCAATTGCCAGGACTTGTTCATGATGACCAACATAGCCACCACGTCGTTTCCGGCTTAGAGTATACTCACGATACACCTCTGCCGATGTTAGATAAGACACACTTGAGCCTGGGATTTCTGTCAATCCTGGGTGTCCAAGCTTGGAACGCTTCGCAGCCAAAATCATTTCTGTACAATGAAAGGAAAAAAGAAGCAGTTGAGAGAGGAGACTGCGAGTAACGTCTCAAAATCTTCACACGCTTTTTTTTTTTTTTTTTTTTTTTTTTTAATACTTACCACTGTCTTTAGGAACAAGTGCAAGCTCTGTAGTATTGGGAATGTCTTCAGCAGCACCATCCAATGGTAGCACACGGTTCGTGTCTGCGACCACTAAACACCATTCTTCCGGATTCATTTTACGCTTTCCGCAGATGTAGTCAATTACACCGGATACCAACATTTTAGGTAAAATTTCTACTGTTGTCGTGTGCTTAACTTCGTGTTTTGTTTGAAGTCGCACGCGCACATAATGCTGTGTGCTGGAGATGAGAGGGTCTGCTCTTGGCGGAGCCACAGCGCCTGTGCTACCGCCGCCGCCTCCGGTACCTATAGTAGAAATGGCCCCACTGGATGCGCCTCCTCCATTCATGCCGCCATTGTTAAGTTCCGCCAACTCGGCTGCAGATAAAATGCCTGATACAGACATATCCTTGGTAATTACATCACTTTTGGGGAAATCAGACGGCCCTTGTACTGCAGGCGGGATCTCCAACTTTTGTTTCTTCGGGCGCACAACTGTTCTTCCGGACTTCGCATATAAATTCTCGTTAATTTTGACTTGAGCCGGTGTAGCCTCGCATAATGCAAATTGATTCATTGCAAACCGCTGGTTTGTGGAAAACCGGCCAATTTTCAGCGTTCTTTCCACAGCTTTTTTTTTTTTTTTTTTTTTTTTTTTTACAGCCATGAACAACAGACAGAGGCATATTAGGATCAGATGATATGTGAGATTTTTTTTTTTTTTTTTTTTTTTTTTTCAAGCATTAGTGTACTTGAAGTTATTTTGTTTTTACCTGGCAGGTCGTCGTCAATCTCGCCGTCATCTTCGACGATACGCAAGTTCCATTGTACGACGGTTGAGAGCTCATCACTAAGTAATGGTTTCCGTCCCTCATGGTAATATTGATAGAGTATATATCCAATGACATCTTCAACTGTTGCCTCGCGCTTCACGACTACCTGCATCGGATCCCTAGGTTTCTCACTATTAGGTAAATATATCTTGAGCTGTACGGGGTTAGCCTCACCCATTCCAGCCACCCGCAGAAACTCTTCTGCAAATGGATTGTCATCCTTGAACTTTTGTTGTGTGATGAGTTGAGTGAGTAAAGATTTTGGAGGAGGCTTCACAGGCAAGAGAAAAGGTTGTGTTGGAAGGCCTTCTACATGCGGGGCGATGGATTTGTTGGGAGGAGGGGTATCAGGGCGCAATGGTGAAGACGACATCAAATTGATTACAGACGGCACAGGTGTTTTGAGCAGCCGCCCAGCAGTGGCTGAAGCTGGGGGCGACAAATCAATTGGTGAATTCAGGGAGTCAATGGTGATGTCGCCAATTTCGGTTGTCTGCTCCACTGCTTCAGAATCTCGCGAAGCGCCTGATTCGAGAGGTGCCGAATCTGCAGCTGTCTCTAGAGCCGTTCCTGTACCTTCCGCCGCCGATAGTCGTTGAGCGGCTTGAGTATCCTCAGGGATGGTGGCTGATCCAGGTCTTGAAGGGGTGGTGACGAAAATCCCTGGCGCAAAATTACCACTAGCGAGGATTGGTGTTGCAATCTTTGGGAACCTCCTCGGTGGTGATTTACTAAAATGGTAGAAAATATAACGCGTCAACGATTTTTCCTCTTTTTTTTTGCCTTAATGGGGTGATGCAATTATCCAATAAAACAACGAAAAAAAAAAAGAAGAAGCATACATTGGCTCTTCATCATCGATATCAATTTCGTCGTCGCTTTCTACACTAGCAGCAGCCATTGGAATTGGCACTCGTACAGCAGGCGCAGGTGCAGGTTGGATCGGAGACACTTGCGGCACACCACCGCCACCACTACCGCCTTCATTACCCCCTCTACCTAATCCTGCAGCAGCAGCAGCTTGGGCTGCAACCATCCGCCTTCGATCATGTTTAATTCTTCCTACAATTCCTGGTTTTGGATTATATGCGACTCCTGTTGTTCCACCAGGGTTGACATTGCTACCATCATTGGATGGCGTCAGTGTAGAGTCGTTGGTACCGCCACCGCCACCGAGGAGAAGAGAAGAGCTACCGAGCATCATGTATTCATGACTGATATTGGGCGAGTAACAGTACTGCATCTCTGGAAAGTTGGGTCCTGCAACCTTGATGTATTCATTAGAAAGCAATTGTGGTGGGAAAGAGATGATTTTGTCGGCCGTGCGGTCATCGAGACGTAGGTTACTAAGACGTAGATTATGGACGATGTAGGCAGGATCACTTAAAAGTGACATGGTGTGGAGAGAGAGGAGAGAAAGAAGGATTATAAATAAGAAGAGACGCTTCCTACAAGATGGGTAAAAAAACTAAAATAAAATAACGTGAGGTAAGCAATGAAGTATTATACAATTGGCGCGTTTTTCTTTTCTTCGTTGAGAATAGAAAAAGGTAAGAGGATATTGAAAAGAGGGAAGATAGCAGTTGATGCTTGCGGTAAGTTGTAATGGATGAATGAAGCAGATGAATATAAACTTTTTTTTTTTTTTTTTCTTTGGGCAAAGACACTCTTCAATGGTCCTAACATGGGCTCAATGGCTTTCTGCACATGTGTACAAAATTATTTGTTTTTAAATAAATGCTGCATTCAAGAATTTTTACTTGGTTTCTAATACAGTTTTTTTTTATTTTTTTTTATAAAGACTCCTGAGGCAGAAGGTGCTTATGAATCGGTTGAATGGCCATTCCGCCAGCCCATCCTCCAAAGTTCACAAGACATTCGCATCCACATCCTGTCGGGCAAACTTGGTTTTTCTCCTGTACAAACCATTCCCATAAATGATCTGTATGTCCTCCATGAGCACATTTGAGGCATACACTCGTCCGTCCTCGGACAGATATATGACAGATCGTACATTTGATCCCTACTCGCGTCATTTTACAAAAATCGCACTTATAATTTGGATACAGTCGATTCTCACATTCAAAGCATTTGTTGTATATTTGAGGTCCACGGTTGTCAATACCCAAGATCAAGTCCAAAGGTGATATCTTGTGATAGTCCTTATTTCGATATGCATTCGAGCTTTGGGATATAGGTTTAAGAGATAGGAACTTGAGTAACTCTGTTCGTGCCTCAAACAGACCCCAGCTATACATCATTTCTGCATACAGAAGCCGCCAAGTATTATGAAGGTTTTCTTTGGATGGGTCCAACAGCGGTTTGTTCATCGGACTAGAGGAAAGAAAAGTTTGTCAAAATATTCGATGTAGGAAAAAAAAAAAAAAAAAAAAAAAAAACGGAGGTATAGGCGGATAATTCTTTAATTTCTTACGTTTCGTCAGAGTCAAAGTAGCCAACGTTCATCCTTGTCATCTTGAAACCGTTTGCTCGAACTGTAAACCGCTCATTCTTTTCGAGCAGAGATGATGATGGTGATGTGCTTGGTTCACGGCGCTGAATCGGCGCCAATTTGGAAAGTAGTGTTGGGCTGGCTCCCTGCATTGAATGATATGAATCCCGCTTACTGTGTGCATAGGCTGGTGGTTGGGTGACGCTTTCTTGTGGTCCTTGCTGGGCAGAATAACTAGTCATGATTGGCGGTATGAAAGGAGGTCCGTGGTATGGTGGAACGACATCTACATATCCTTCTCTCGAAGAAGAGGGTGTTGTCAAGGGTGAAGTGATAGCACCACTGTAAAATCGATTTGGAGCCTTTCGCATGGATGATGAATATGATGTCCCAAAAGCAGTCATTGTTGGCGATACTCGGTTTAGATATGGAGATATCCTCGTTACTGTTGGCGCTCTAGGCCGTGCAGGGCTTTGTTCAAGTGACATTGGTGTAGTGTTCATAGGTAGTCCATTAAGAGACCTAGTGTTACTCGCTTGACGGCTATTAAAATAGTCCGGTGCATCGCTCATAGGCGATTGATGATACGAGCGATAGTGAGCCTGAGGCTTGATTCCAGAAATATTTCAAAAAAAAAAAAAAAAAAAACAAACAAACATTATTTTTCATTGTGGAATAAAGAGAAGAGAATGGACTTATGCAGGATAGAGCAACATACAGGAGTAGTGCCAGTGACGGAAATCGTGTTTCTAAAGGGATCTTTGAAGACGCAAGAGAGTAAAGCAAGCATTTGAATATCACCATGGCGTTCTAAATATGAGAAGCTAGTTCCAAAGCAATGGAGTATTAAAAAACATCGAGTAGAAATCATTGTTATATTGTTGCGTATATGTGAAAAAAGTAAAAAATAAAGAACAAAAAAAAAAAAAAAAAAAAAAAAGATAATGAAAATGAGCTTACAGCACATCGACAAGCTCTCGACCCAAAGGATGATTACCCCAGCGCACTTTTTGGTAGAATGTATCCTCTAAAACAGGGACAAACGCCGTACCGCTATCACGCCGCTGCCTCGCGCTCGTTGAACGATTCATCAAATCTAGTAATTTAACAGGGTGCGTTTGAGAATTCATCTTGGAGATCTCTGCCTTGTGCATTTCGAATGTGACAGGATCCATCGGTACAGAGAGTGTAAGAATCAATGCCGCTAACTTCCAGATCTTGTACAAATCCAAGCGCCCTAGATGTCGGGCCTGAAGGGCATTCTGCTCGCAGATTTCAGATACATTATCGCCATTAAGTCTAAGAGTAGAAAAGGTAGCATTGGAAAGAGAGAAAAAAAAAAGAGAAAGTGAGAGAGGTAGTAGATGGAAGATGCCAAGAAATGGTATGCAGCATGGCAACAATAACAGCGGCATACGTATAGGCAGCAGCCAGCCTAGGCGACACCGGAAGAAGATGCGTGATATCCTTAAGATACAGAGTGCTCCTAGATTGTGGCTGTTGTTTATAGTACCCGGGCTGATCCTTTGCATTCCTTGTCACGCGAACCAATTCATGTTTTGGTTTTGGTTTTGCAAACAAGTTGGGCATAGGCCACAAGTCATCTTGATCATCTGTGTCTGCCACAATGCGGGATACAGTTCCTGCTAACCCTTCAGTGCTGCTTGGTAGACGTGAGAACGCCTTGTATTCTCCCATCGAAGCATAGGTTCGAGGGTGGGTATATGTATACGATGTTTTGATTAGAGTACTACTACGACCAGTGATTGGTATGCTCGACGATGCTGCATGAGGCGTGCGGAGCTTGGAGAAAAATGTAACCAATTTACCTATTCATGAACATAGATAATGTATTTCCATTTTTTAGTGCCATATCCATAGTCAATGCCATGCATAACCGGAGCTACTCTTCAGCATTGCTTTGAGTATTAAATGAGACATCTCATACCGTTGGTTGCAAAGACCGCTCCACAAAGGCATGGGAATGGGACCATCTGATCTTTCTCATCCATTGTGCCAGCGTCCCGGCCACGCGACTTGCGTAGGGGATTGACAATCGTATCATCTTCATCTGAATCATCCAAGCCCTTGTCCATGGCCTCGTCGCGTTTGTCCTCCCCTAAAAGACATCGAATAATGGCTTCTAAACACGGTAAGCCTCTGGATGCATGCGTTGCTGCAATACGATCGAGATTGGCTGCAATCTGTGCCCGCAATGCCATAGACAGCATCCCTGTTTTCTGGATCTCAAACGTAGGTGGCGCCTGTTTCGGATAAAACTGTGGGAACGTGATATTGACGCGTAAAAACGGGACGCCTTCATTCGTGCGGAGACCATTAAGCGAAATTGTACAGGTCCGTCCAGCAACATTCACCTTCTCAAATTTCACATTTTGGAATTTTTGCCCAACAGCTGCAATCTCCGTAGCCACTGTTTGCGGTGAAGCCCTATCTGGCATGCCTAAATCTCCACTTGGCTTCGCCATCCGAACACCCTGTACCCATACCAAAGGCGATGGCGCTTTCCGTTCTCTGTATAGCACGCCATGGTTTCCAAGGGGCCCCACAGTACGTGTTGACATGGATGTCCGAAATGGAGTCATTGTTGACATTCGGTTTCCTGCAAGCACTCGTAGTGTTGATACCGTTCTCGATGGTGTTGCAGCTATTCTAAGAGGGGGTGGATCTCTGAATGACATTTTTTCATAGTTTGGTGGATAAGGTGCAATGTCGGCAGGTGTTGTCGCATTGTGGTCCATAGCTTCCAGCATTTTTTCACTTATTGGCCAGAGTCGAAGATGCTGGTCCTTAGACCATGTAACTAGCTGAAAAAGACGTTGGCCAGAGTTATCCTCATTATCTCGTATACGCCACACAAACTCTTTGACCGTATCTGTATGTCCCTCAAATCTACAAACAGGCTCCGATGAGCGACCCCTATTCCATAGAGAAAGAGCCGTTTCTGTTCGTTGGGGCATGGTCAAGATGCCATGTCCGAACGGTGTGTGACGTGCGCGCCAGACAGGCGATTTTGTGACGATCTCATTATGAGGTTGGCTAGTATCGTCAATATCCCAAAATTTGATCGTCTTGTCTAAACTGCAGGTGACAATATGGTTTCTGTGTTTTCTGCTCCAGTCAATGCCATTGATTCTTTGACGATGGGCTGGAATGCTGATGTAAGGCGAAGACCCTTTTCTAGTGTCCCAAACTTCTACTTTGGTGTCGTGTGCTGAGGCAAGAGTAAATTCGTCTTTTCTGTTAAATTTGACAACCGTTGCCGCTGCTGTTCATAAAAGCGCAAAGAGTTAATGAATACATTTATCGAAAGAAAATAAAATATACGTACACAACAGGCTCTTTTTTAATCGCAGGTAAAAATGTGATTACCTGTCCATGCACAAAATGAGTTGACGGGCTTTTTAGGGGTTCTTAAGTCCCACAAATGTACAAAAGTATCAACAGAGCATGTAGCGAGCAGATCCGGATGGAAAGGAGACCAATTGATGTCGCTAATGGCTCTGTTATGAGCATGAAGAATCAACTCAACAGCTCGCGGTGCATTATAATTCAAATTCCAAATAAGTGCTTTTTGATTTGACTAATAAATGATCAGCGAGGTGATAAAAACGAAACAGACAAAGCAGGTAAAACTTAGGCTTCTTTTACGTTTTTTTAAATGAATAGAAAAGTACTTTGTAAAAAAAAAAGCTTTATGAGCTCTGCTCCGCTTTACGCTTTTACCGTTGATGCGATCCAGTTTTCTCGACTAAAGTGTGGGTTCCATTGTACATCTGCTACCTCCCATTTCGTCATATGATGTAGAACTCGCGGTGGTTCATATGGATTCTCCAGATCAATAATAAAGAGCCCTTTCCGCCTAACAAAGTTTTTTTTTTTTTTTTTTTTTTTTTGTAGAGTTCGTGTCGGTAAAATTGTTTCGTAGTTTGAGAAAGTCCAAAATTTTTAACAGGTTTTATGTTAATCCAATCTCTCTCTGTCTTGGATCACTCAACCAGGAGAAGAGTAAAGGTGCAAGGTTCATGCTTCTCACATACGCGGCCAGGACCACATCACGACTACTAGGAGAGATACTCATACTCCCCACAGGTTGCTCTACATGAATGGAGAGTTGTTGCGTCATCGTGTCCACAAAGGAAGACCCAACTCCAGCGCCGCCGTTAAACATTGGAGTCTTTGACAGTATCGCTGCTGTAGATGATGTGTTATTATCGTTGATAATGAATTTTGATCCAAGAGATGATGTAGACAGACGAGGAAGTTGCTTTGGATGACTGCTATTTGAAGTTCGCGTATTCTTGAAAACTTCTACATCTATTTTGTCTAATAGGTTCGTCGTCGTATCTTCTTTTTTGTACACTATGCCATTTTTATTAAAGTCATTGGTCATGCTGTCATTGCTGCTGCCAGAAATTTGGTCATGCTCACTGTCGTTCATTGTGCCTGTTTTGATTTGCTGTTGCCTGTGCTCGTGTTCTGTATGCTCTTTATCCAGCTTGGATTCATCACAATCTTTCTCATTCCCACGACAGTATTTATAATTGTTCATATTAATGTCCCTATTCTTATCCTTATGCCTGTTCATTAGTCATGTGGGTAGGAAAATGACAAAGGTGCAAGATGGGGTAACGACGAAAAAGGGTTCCAATTCATTAATATTGATCATCACGTGATATCGACATTATTCTATATGAATATGATCTTGTCTACACAGACAGGGATTTTTATTTATTTTATGAGTTCCTTAACTCGATTTATTCGCTCCGTCTACGTCTACTTTTATGGATTCGGGTATCTAGCTAAGCTCTTTTCCGAGTCTTCCGCTCTGTCTACTCCGGCATGTATTAATCATTCTCATGGCTTGCAGCTGACTGTGGGAAGTCCAGCATCTCATCTAGACTGATATGACGTGAAAGTTCATTAAGGACAGTCTCATCCACTGGTATAATAGACTTTCTCCGGAACTGAGGAATGACTGGTCCAGTGTTATCGAATGTCTGCAAATTGTCACTGTAAAGATCCTGGTCTGCGTCTGAATCATTTCCCGACAACTCTTCATCTGCTTCATCAGCGATCGCTCCATGAACAAAAGACTCTGAAATAATATGAATATATAAAATATAAGGGCGAGTTAGTGAGCGATGAGATGAAATAAAAGGAGCATTCCAGGATAGCTAGAGCTCTTACCGAGTGGTACAGAGATGGGATCTGCTGGAAGTGGTAATGGGACCGAAACCGCGCCCTGCGCGGAAAGATTGGCATAGTTTTCTGCTGCCCGTTGCTCGAGTCGTTGCCAGATATCATCTCTTTCCTGCAAACGTTTTCTATCACTTTTATGCGAGTTAGATTGTTTAGTATGGACAACAGCAACAACTGAAATGGTCACGACTAAAAAAAAAAAAAAAAGATGATTATCAACAATTTTTTGCAGGCTGAGTCTATCAAAACATACTTTTGACGTGCTACACGAAAATGATTGGTGCACTCATCAAAGAGTTTTGGTGTTGCATCCATGAATAATTTAAGCGCGTTAAATACCAACCCATGGATAGTCCTAAGGGAAATGTTATATAGCCGTTAGAAAGGTATTGGTTGCATATATAATGGATAAAATGGGGATAAAAAGATGTGTTATTTGTACCTGTTCCAATGTGTCTTTGAGTTCTTGTACAAGGATTGGAACACGATCGGTAAAATTTCATTGGCATTGTCATGAATCAGATTAACAATATACTCGTTATTCCAATAGTATAGTGCTCTCTCTGCAACCTATGGTGATAGCAATGATGACGACGATCAATAAAATAAATAGATTTAATGCATCGTGCTTGCTCCAACGACCAACAAGCTTTTGTGTCTCACCTGGAAGTGTGGACTCGAAACACAGCGTGCGATTTGCGTAAATAAAGGGCCTTCTATTTTGACGAATTCGGATGGTTCAATGACATCCAGAATCTCTTCAATTTCATTCAAGAACATCACCTCTTTGGGACTGTTGACTTTAGGCCAAAAGCGCAGCAAACCATGGACAACCTATTTTTTATTTTGACAAAGAAATGGACATGTTAGTATTAATATGCATTAGACTTTTTCCGTTCTTCCTCCTCGAGAAAAAAAAAATAAAATAAAATAAAAAATAAATAAATAAATACCTCCTCAGTTAACGTGGGGTCCTTCTCTAAAAATTGAACTACACAATAGGCCAGCTGAGGATGGTAAAGTGTCAATGATCTTGCCTTGTGAAGCGGTATTAATACTTTAGTGAGAAAGGTCTTATGTTCTTCCTTAAGTGGGAGAGCAAATCCGTTGATAATGCTAATGATGTAATAAGCAAGGGGACAGAACCACAAAAAAAAAAAAAGAAAGCAAAAAAAAAAAAAAAAGAGTAGATGTATGAGCCAAAAGATACATATGGTAGGGCAGGACCTTTCAACTCATTATAAACTATATATATCAACAATTATCCCAAGAAAAAAAAAAAAAAAAAATTCTGATAGAGTTCTGAACTGTACCTTCCCAGAATTTCCAACAGCTCCGCAATCCCGTTGTGTCGTTCTTTCTCATAAATAAATTGAAAAAAAACGTTGTTGATTGATCGGCGGATGAATGCTCTCAAATTGAGAAACTTGCCGTAGATACGGTGAAGGGTCGTTTTTAGAAAGTCGCGCTCACGAGGATCTTCACTATCAAAGAGCTCAAGCAACTAGAAAGTGAATACAGATGAGGACAGTAAGTAAAACAAGCGCAAAAAGTCCAAAAACTAATTTACATAAACGATCAAAGTCAAAAAGTAGAGAGAAAACAACAAAGCCAGGATAATGACACGATTCAACTTTTTTTGCTTACCTGGAGGATAAAGTGATGGTCAATGAATTTCTTTGCCATATTGGTGTTAAAATCAGGGGATTCGATGAAGCGAAGAAAGAATTCATAAACGATTTGAAGATGAGGCCATGCTAACTCCAGCACTGGTTCGTCTTCCTCAGGGTCATATGCCTCTCCCGAGGGATTCACCTGAGGGGGGATCGTTCTAAAGAGATTCATTGCAAACTGTAAGGATTTTTTGATCAGTATAGATCAAGTTAAATCATAGTCAATTTGGACCGCCTCTCTGTGCAAGCAAACAAAAGAAAAAGATTCTTACCATTTTGACGACCTCAGGATATACAGGCTCTGTGATCACACCTCTGTTGTTAGAGATGTAGTCAAGAATTTCTGTCAATGCCTGCCGCTTGATTTCTTTGCCCTTGAGTTCTGAAGATGCATCATTAAAGTCGAAAACAACTGAGCATTGTCCAATCTTTTTCAAAAACAGCTCCTGACGATCAATATGTGCCACGTCTATATGGTATCAATAAGCGATAAAAATTTTTTTAACAGCGAATATTGTTAAAAAAAAGACAAAGAGGATTTAGAGTACCGAGAATTGGTAGCAAAGATATAATAACAACAATTCAATTCATTAATAATAATTATAAGGATAACAATAATAATAATAACAACAAAAAGAGAGAAAGAAGCAAAGATGGCAATAGATTGATAAGTGAATAGAAAATTAGATGGATGAGTGGATGAGGCGAGAGAAATCGGAAATAGAAGAGCACAGAAAACAAGTAGAAACATTTAGAAGAGCTGCTCATACGCACGGATATTCACTGGTGTATTAACAAGACTGACAAGGATCCAGTTAATTGAGAAAATTCCAGTTCTACATACCGTCTAATGCCTGAAGTCTTTCCAGCGTGACGCGTTCTGTTACATGGAATCGAGATGATCGTTGTCGTCTGGGAGTTTTGCTTATAGGGATGGCATCCTTGGGTGCGTTCTTCATCCTATTAATGGGTCCACTCTTAGGAACTTCTTTCTCACCAGTTTGTTTGGCCGAAGGAGATGCCGGAGTCGGTGAGGATGGAAGGCCCCCTGTAAACTGCGGTGATGCCCCAGGCTGATGATATTCAGACTAGCGCAAAAAAAAAAAAAAAAAAAAAAAAAAAAAGTTTAAACACATTGTGAACGAGTGGGATAGGGGTCAGGAAATACACAAATGAAAGCTTTCAAAACCAAAGAAATAATTGTTATAACGGGGTGGAAAGGAGCCGTAGCAAAATGCTGGGCATTGTTTGGTCTATTTTCTTTGGTTCATAAAATAAAAATAAGAAAGGAGAGAGAAAGAGCAAGAAAGCGAGAAAGCGAGAAAGCGAGAGAGATTGGGTCATGGATGAGATCTTACTGGCTCTACATTCATTACCACAATTGTAGGAGTATGATTGTCGCGCTGATCGTGAGTCATGTTGTCACCGAGGATGGTAATGCTTGGGTTTGTAGAATTGGCAAGAGTGCTCCCAGATTTATTCTCGAGCGGCGTTCTAGAAGGGATTTCTATTGCCTTTATGGGCTCCTTGACAGATGTGATGGGTTGTTCCTGTGGTTGTTGGTTCTGGTTGTTGTTATTAGAGGTATGAACCGTGCTATTGCTGAGGTTGGAGAGGATATGGGGTTCCTGGGTAGGACTAAGACTAGAATTGGTAATGGGACAGGCCGTGGTGGGAGTAGTGTTATTATGATGAGGGAGGTTGATATTGGTATTGATGGTATTGTTATTGTGAATGTAAGACGCGTTGTCAGCGACTTGAGTAGGATTACTGGAAGCAGTAGTAGGAGTAATTAAAGTATTAATAGTACTAGTTGCTATTGAGGAAGAAGAAGAGGGGAGAGGAGCGTCGGCAGCTGGGACAGTGTTGATGGTAGAGGTGGAGTTGTTAGCTGGTAGGATATTATTGTTTTTCGACTTGTTCCGTGTCAAGACGCCCTTCAAACTCTTCATTGATTTATTATTGCTTGATTACTTGATATGACGCAGAGTGGAAAGAGAAAACAAAAGAAAAGGAAAAAGAAAGAGAAGGAGAAAGAGAAGGAGAAAGAATGAGAAGGGGAGAAGCAAGCAAAAAAAAAAAAAAAGTGATGGGCAAAAGAAATGAGGCTGGAGGAAGGAGAGAAAGAAAAAAAAGAGCAAAAGGACCAACAAAACAACTAAACAACTTTAGCACAGGGACAGCGATAAATGATGGAACTTTATTAAATACAGAAAATAAAAGTCGGGTTGAAGGTTGAGAGCCATGCAAGAAAAAAAGAAGAGCACCAGCAAAACTGCATTATGTTGTATAGCATATTGTATAGATATTATGGATATACAAAAATATTATTACACACATTTAATTGTATTATCACATTGACCAAATACAATATACATGCTTTATACATACATTAATGCAGATATCATACATGTCATTGCACTTTCCCTTTTGGATTATTGGCCTTGTCGTTTTTGTGCAGCTAAGCAAAGCCAAAAGATCTTGACGACAGGGATCCTCTTCATTAATAAACTCTTTTTTCAATCTTTTATTATATTATTGATTCAACATATTTAGTTTCATCTTCATCCTACTTCCATCATGGTCGTCAGAGCTTATCTTTAATATACTTGTTGTCTTTTTACAAAGATTTATCCATATCCACACGCCATTTATCTGCATTCTTTTTTTTTTTTTTTCCTTCTTCTTGCCTTATTGGATAAACGGCTTAAGATTGGAATATTGAAAAGATCCCATTGACCAACAAATGATAAGGGGCAGAAAAAAAAAAAAAAAGAAAAGAAAAAGAAAAAGAATGCTCTCAACCAACCCACCTCTTCCTTTGTGGAAATAGGGCCTATTGGTGGATTTGTCCTATGAATAGGTTTTCACAGACATGAATGTGTCATTATAAATTTAAACTAACGGGTTCTTTCTTCTTTGGTATTGATACCATTGATAATGGAGCGGAGAAAGAGAAAAGAAAAAGAACAAGAAAAAGAACAAGAAAAAGGAAAAGAGAGAGCGGCGGAGCAAGTGACAAAGTATGAGAGTGAGAGCATTGTTTTCAAGCCCTGATCATGAGCATGAGCGTAAAAGCACAGCTGCAAACGAGCTTTGTCTTTCCTTTTCATTGGTGCATTCAATAGACGTTATTAGTCTCACCTAAAGTTTATGTAGACTCAGTATAAACCCATCTTTACCAGAGTATTTCTTCATTCCTATTTGATTTTATTGAAATAAAAAGGCGTCCTTTTTTCACGAAAGAAAAAAAAAAAATAGAAAACATATTTATACTTATGCTGCAGACTCCACCTTGGGTTTGAATCGGTATCGCTCCAGCGCAGCTCTGATTTCCTCCTATAGAAATACATCAAAATGACTGTCAGAAATATGAAAAAAGCCAATGTTTCATTAAAAAAAAAAAGGTATTCGCAAAATAATACATGTAACGTACCACAGACACATCATTATTGGCATAGACGAGAGTACTGTCCTTCTTGGTTGGAGTGCCGTTCGTTACCAACGCAGTAGCAGCTTTTGCATCTGCTGAAGGTGCTTGCATTGATCCAATAGCTGTCGTTGCAGATGGTGTTGTGATTGTAGCTGCGACAGCCAGGGTTGTGGGATCGGGAGATGGTGTAATATGTGAAGTATGCTTCAAGTTATAACTCATATAAGGATTGGGAATACCTATTGCAGGTGAGGAGGTTGACTGTCCAACTGCAGAAGATGGGGATGGCCCGCTTGGAGGCGTCGAGCCAGGCAATCCAGCTGTATGAGGTGATCTCGGTGGCAACCCAGAAGAGTGAGGATGCATGTTAGGTGGCACGCCTGGTGGTGCTCCAGCCGGCGCACTAAGGGCTGCATGTGGTGGAATTAAAGGCATACCTGGTGGAGGCATAAAACCTGGTGGAGGAGGTCCATTCATGAATCTAGGTGGGAAACCTGGTTGATGTTGCTGAGGTGACATACCATATGGTGGTCCTGGCGCCGGCCTTTGTGGCGGCCATGATCCAGGAGAAGGAGGAGCAATCTGATTACCATAAGGTGCTGGTGGGAATGGTGGCGGTGGTCCTGCATGTGATATACTATTCAAGTGAGCAACAAAAAAAAAAATTAGTTCTTCTCCGGCAAAAATCTTCTCCTTTGTTCCTTGGTGCTATGGCGGGTGGGACTTACCCTGGGGCCGGAATTCCATAAGGCTGTGGGGGCCGAGGTTGATAGAATTGGCTATATGCAGCAGGCATAACTGAAGCAGCTTGTGGCATACCTGGATATTGAAACTGACCTGGATACGGGGCTTGGCTGTGTGGAGGCGGGTGAGGGATTCCTGCACCTATCGATCCAGGGGGATTAGGAGGCATACCAGGAGCAGGAGGAGTTGAGCCGGGTGGTACCTGGAGCCCAGATGATCCAACAAGAGGTCCAGTTGGAACTGAGGTCGCCTGCATCATAGCTCTGTGCGCTGCCAGTTGATTTTGAAGATCCTCTTCAGAGAATTCAACAGGTGTAGAAGCAATTTTAGGGCGTTTACTGACAGGATTATCACTTGCGTCCTGTTTACTGCTGTATGCAATCAAATCTTCTTCCGGAATGCCTTCCATACCGTAAATTTCCAGATCCACCGTCTCACGACCAGGCATTGCATTAGGGACACTGATAGTAAAAAAAATAGTGTTACAGCGGACAGATAAATTATTGTAAACTTGACCAACAAATTTAAGATAAAAGGCTTTGATCTTTCACCTACGTGCTAATGGTCTCCTTGTGAACCTGTAGAACATGGACTGCCATTCCTCCTGCAGTGTTGAGTTTTTTGCTGCAATGGCTACACTTGAAGTGCTTTGCTCTTTGATGCGAAATCAGCACTTTTTCATCCTCGAAATCACGTTCGCAGTACCTGTCATTTAAAAACGAGATCAGTACAGTTTATCAATGAAACGTGAATGGGTGGTAACATTGATCAAATAGTTATACCATAAATTCATGAAAGCAACAAGTTAAAGACTTTAAATTGTTATATTTGCATACCAGCACCAAGGACGCACAACTTTTTTCTTGTTCTTTTTTGCCATCGTTGTTCAAAAAGTGAATGGGATTATTGATGTAAGTCAAATGATGATTAACAAAAAAAAAAATCGCATCTTTACTTCAGTCTAATTTAAGGGGTTTCATTAGCCAGTGAGCTTCGCCACCAAAGCGTCCAAAAAAAAAAAAAAATTCAAACAGATCAAGTTTTATTATTGTTGGCTAGCCTTCAATGCTGACCGATCGTTTAGAAGCGGAGCTTAGTGAAGAACCACTTGTTCTTGCCGCTGTTGTATCTATTGTGACAAAAATAGAGACATACATGTTTAGTATAGGTAACAATAATATATTATCAAACTTTAATCAATTATAACATTGCTACATACCTCTCCTCGAAGAGCTTCTTAATGGCCTTCTTGGCTTCCTCACGTTGAGAGGGTTCCTTGAAAGAGTCGACAGTGAGGACGGACTTGAGGGACTCCAATTCCAAACCATAGCTTTATATATATATATTTTTTTTAAAAAAGAAATCCAGTTTGAAAACATCGATTTTTAGTAAAAAACAGCAACAGCATGCGCTCCTGAGAACGTGGCGATTATTTCCAAATACATCTCCAGTTTACCGGATGTTGTTTTCCAATTATAAATTCTTTTATATCCATAAAGCCTCTTCATGATCGTCCAATTAAAAAATATAGGCCTTACCGAGTGGGCATCAAGTGATTATAGTTGATAACCTTGATGAAAGGCTTAACCTTGGAGCGCTTGGCGACGCGCTTCTTGCCCATGTTCTTAGTGATCTTGAGAGGGTAACGCTCGACACCTGCAACGAGGGCATGGCCGTAACCACGCTCCTTAGAACCATCATCGACATGTACAGACAGGAAAAGAAACAAGAGAATAAAAAAGAAAAGGCAAATAGAAAATAACAAGCACAGGTCATACGAATCTTCACATCCGTTTCCAATGCGAGGAAACAAATGATCAAATTGAAGAATGTAATAATATAACACTTCGAGTTCAAAATTGAAATAAAAAAAGTTCTCCATCAACGCATTTTGTCCACTTCTTCCATGAAAGCATATTGATAACTGATTGGCTCTCTATGTAGCTGAGTTGCGAAGATGTATTTCGACAGATATGTTGATTTATGGTTTAGAATATCCAGTCGAGTTATAATGGTGAGTATAGTCGAGAAATGTTGTATTGATAACGGGCTCTACGCTGGAGCACATTATCAATAATCTAACTGATGTGCTTGGTTTGGTTCAAGATATTGGTGATCCCTTAGAGATAAATCTAACCAATATTGTGCTTCCTCTATAAAGAGGACGCTTTCCTGATCAAAAGTCCAGAATAAAATGAAATTAGATTTCCTGCATCTACTGAGACATTTATGGTGTTTGGATCCTGATCAATCATGACATCATTGGTTGTCCTATCCGGTGATGGCGATTCCATGCAAACGAGCAAAAAGAGTAATAATAATAAAAAAAAAAAAAACAACGTAAACATTTCAATAAAGCTGTTGATTTGCTATTTTTCACGATGACAGCCTTCTTGCCGGCGTAACGACCGTTAAGGATGACGGCGACCTAGGTTTGATTGGGAAGGACGTAAATTTTGGGTGTAAGTCGGATGTATCCAAATTATCCAAATTATCCATATCTATCCATCGATCAAATATTCTTAACATCCGTCTATATCGCCTCATGATTTAATTATAGGTGATATTCAGTCCTGTCATGGTCAACAGGATGTGTCCTTGAAAGTACCTTTCCTGACTTTAAGAACTTGACCATCTTGTTGCAGAGAGACAAAGAAAAAGAGAAGGGTTTAATGCATCATGAAGTAGCTGCAAAATTATACAAGATTTTCATGGATTAAAAACAAGTCACATGTTCATAAATGGGAGTTGTGATATCCTTCCAAAACGGAGAAAAAGTGTCTTTCATCATTAAAACCCATTATGTCTAAAACCAATGAAATAGAAGCCAGTTTATACGACTCGCGAATGACAAGCTTTACGATGCATTGGTAAAAGCATATCCGATTGGCATCGTTTTTTTTTTTATCACGTACAACTTGTCAGGTCGTGACCTTTATCCTTGACAATAAATAGGCACTTCGCTCTACCAGGTTGAATTCATAAAATGGATAGTTGCGGTCTAGAAGACATTGTGGAAGATTATGAGACCGTCATAACGCTGAACTTTCTATCGAGTTATGCTATGCTGAAAGGGAAAACGGAGGAGCGGATCAAAGGAGATCCGAGATAGTCCAGAGGATTATGAAATGAAGAAAGTCAAGATGGAGGATAAGGTATCGGCCAAAAAGCTGGGTAAGTCAAAGAAAACTATTGCTTTATTGCTATGTTTATCGATGTCGATATCGATGTTGATGCACTGGCCAAAGCGGATATGGAAAAATAGATTAAAGAAAGGCGCTCAGCCTGACAAACGCATGAACATGCAAGATATTGTGAGGGATGATTTCCTAAATTTTGATCCCAGCACATTAGGAGCAGCCCTAAGATCGCCAATTTTAAGAGTTAACTAGAGTGGCATCAGATAATCATTGATATTAGTCTTACTCTCGCACGACGGAAATCACCCTTACTCGAATAAAGAGAGATATTGTCAATGAGCCCGCTTTTGCATTGTTATTTATTTTATTTTTCCAAGTTAGGAGACGTTATTCAAAGGTTAATGTGCTGGCTATTAGGTGTAGATGTCTTTTCTGTTTGCGCAGCTGGTCAATCTAATGAAAGTCCTTGTGCCTGTGGCATTTGCGGTTGCTGATGAGCCGATGGCTGTGAGGAAACTTCTATTTCAATTTGTGAATTAGAATCAGCCTCGGTCATTTTCAGGCCATCATCGCACGTTGGATCCATGTCGATACGAATCATAGGGACATTAGCAGCCGTCGTAGCTACACCATTAGACCCATATTCATTACTGGATCCGCTATCCTTAGCAGTATCAGCCGCCACCGCTCCGTTGCTTGCCGAGTTGTCCTGGGTATTATCGGCATAGATATCAGACTTGCGACGAGGCGCCGCTAGCGAAGGCATGACCCAATCCAAACCTTCACGCTCAACAACCCTTTCATCAGGAACATCTTCCAAAATATCTTGAATACCAGATACAGTCTCAAGATGGCTCGATATTTCACTCCAAATCTTGGCTAGCGCTTCCTTATCTGCACACGTAGCAGCGAATTTCTTTCGCAGGACGTCTGGATTCGGTACATTATTTGAGGCACTCTTGTTTGTTGACGAACCACCATCTTGACCTCCACCATTCACCCCGCTAATTTTGGATCGATCCCAGTCGCTGCGGTCTCGCTCAGGCGTAGGAATCGAGTGTGATGTCAAAAGGCGATTGTTAACCCAGAAAAACTCATAGGGTCCATTGTACGAGATTTGAATAAATGCCACCCCTGACCGATGCACGTACTGAATGTTTTTGTAAGTAGCTCGTTTGTACGAGTAGGTGAGTTGTGTAATTGGCGGATAGAGTTCATCCGATTCCATGTCGAGGATAAATCCATGAAGTTTCACTAGCTCGGTAAAAAAATGCAGTTTTGGTATTTGCACAGGTTCTGTATCAGGTTCAAGTGATGATGCTGGCTTGAAGAAGCCCTTGGTGGGTGGTGGGCGAAGCGCGAGTTTGATAGGTGCAGGGCTTTCAAAGGGGTTAAATGCGCGCCCTTGCGTGTCTTGCTCAATTGGTGCTTCTACTAACCGAAGTCCGCATCGCTCTGCAGTCCTGCCCCAGCTTTGAAGCATATCCTCGATTAATCGGGCAGTGCATCCAAGCCAATGTAGCTGGAAATGGTAACAGTGTTTGATATTGTGTGCGAGATCATAGTGCAAGATTGCAGTCTCTCTTCGTCCACTTCTCTTGTTTGGATCAACATCAATCGTAATTGCTTTGGACATTTCTACCTTTTTGGGCGATAACATCTTCTGAGACATCTCTATACGCTCTCTGAATGACGGCGTACCACTGTTCAAGGGCTGAGAGTTATTGAGTAGCCCTGAGGTCGCACCGCCTGCCACCCCAGTAACCGACCCCAGCGTCGTGGTCGATCCATTAGTAGCACTAGGAGTCAGTTTAATAGAGGGTCGTGTCATTTTCTCTGAGGAAGGATCGGGATCTCTGTCCTTATTCAGGATCTTCTCCAGATCGACATCACGTCTAGTAAGGGATGTAGTTGTATTGCGAAACCAGCCTTTCCTTTCTTTCCCGGAAGGAGCATACTCGCCTGAAAACTGATAAAAGTAATGGCCGTCCATGAAATGATGTTTCCCAAGACAGTGGATGAACAGGCCTTTGTCAAAAAGCTTTTTGCCAAACTCTGTGGCTTCCTCTCGTGTGTCAATATCAACAAAATTATTGATCAACCAGTCCACAACCTCATTGCCTAAAAAGACGCTATTATAAACTCGCAGGTGCCAGCGACGATCCTGTAGCTTGATACCTGTAAGTGAGTTTTGAATCGCTGTAGCAATCGTCTGAACCTTGACATTGCGATTAAGTTTTTCTGATTCTGGTAATACAGGTATAGCCGTGTTTGATGTCTGTCCGTTATCAAGCTCTTTTTTAGCCAGTTCTGAAAATGCCCATGCTGCAAAACTGCAGGTTATGAGCTGGACCTTAACAGACGAGTCTTGCTTCTTCAATGAACCCGCCCGATCGGTTTGCAGATCAATGTAGCGCGCCTTGTGGAACAATTCCAAGAACCTTTGAAATCCAGCAAGTCGCATCTCTTCTTCATCCAAGTGTTCACCGGTTACATTTGTCATGTTGTTCGATACGACGTGTTCAGTAGGGATCAAAATAAATCTTGCTCTCCAGTACAAGAGTTCTTCTGTAAGCTCCTCTTGATATCCTGAGACAAGATGATCCAGGTAATTCCATTGATAATGTGTCAGAGGTGGGTATGAGAAAGTTAAGTCTCGAGGCATGTAGCTCGGGAGCTGTTTGGCCCAGATAACACACTGATACTTGATACTTTCAGGTTTATATTCAAAACGGCGTTCGTATCGCTTGACTTCAATATTTCCTTCTGTGTCGATTGAGAGGCGATGAACCTGCTGCCCCATGCTGAGGTAATAGGATTTATCTTTAGATGCATTGTTGGACACAACACCACTGCTTTTCCCAGTACCTTTGCATGGGAATTCCATTGCAACGGGATCCGACTGCTCGTCTGATCCAACACCGATGGTATTGCACCTATTAATTGTCCCATGGACTTCTGTTGCGGTATTCCTTTCCAGAGGTGCACTGAAATGATCTGCCTTGCCTGTCTTTGAAGTCATGGATGTACTCTCAACAATGAGTTGGAATCCCTGCGCTAAACGGTGGTAAATTAGCTCCTTCATTAGAGCTTTGGTTTTTGCTCTTCGCTCCTGGTCGCTGAAGCTCCTGACATCTTCACTTGGGGAGATAGTATGGATATATTCTGAATATAGGCCCTGAAGTTCTTCTCGAGTTGGGAAATAGTCTGTTGTCAAGGGTAGGGATGCCGGAGAAATCAAACCTCTCCATGCTTCTGTGTTCGATAATCCGTCCGTGTAGACCTCGCTTCGAATAAGATTGGGTGATGTACAGCGTGCTTTGACTCGTGGAAAGGCATGCTGCCAGCGTCTCAAATGGGATGTCATACGGATGATGGTCTTTGGTGGGTTGCATGGATTGATAAGAGTTTGCTTGGATTTCTGACGAGTTTGAATGATTCTTCCTCCATGCCCAGTGGCGTTTGAGATGTATGTCCGTGTGCCCTTGTCACTCGACAAAGAGCCTGTGTTGCACGAGTCAGCTACAGAAATCTCTGAGATAGCCCCCTCATCTTGGAAAGCTCGGTGATTTTTAGAGATATAGATTGGTGTGACCGTGCTTGAGCTCAAAAAGCCTGGATCATCATCAGTACTTGCCCGTGCATGTCCAGGTCTAAGCTTCATATCGATATAGCTGTGCGTGGATGTGCGCCCGTAGTTGGTTTGGTCGCCATTTGTGTCGTCCTGAAGTCCATGCTGTCCATTCATATCATGATTGCCGTAATCGTCTCCAGTATTCCTGTCACTATGCTTGACAGTTCGACTATCCTCCAAGAAGCCGTTAGCACTCTTGAGAGAGAATGAAACACGTCCAGATGTCGCTGCTAGGTCTTTAAGGACTTGATGTTCTGGGATCGTACTTGTTGACACCCCATTCATGGCATTCCAGGCTCTGGGTAGACTTCGCGACAGTTCATTGGAAGTATTTTTGTGGTTCGAAACTGATTGGTATGCAGCGTTTCCCAAATACCCGTCATACCGACGCCCATTATTAGAGGCTCGCGGTACTGATGATTCCAGGTTATTAAGAGAAAGGGTATCTCTCGTCATACCTCGAGACGATTGATTGGACAATTCATTTATTTGCTTGATTTCGGCCGCTAAAGGCGAATTGGGATCCGAAAATACATCAATATCGTGCTTCTCAAAGTCAACTGGATTGGAGAATTGACTTCGGGCAGTAAGGACATCCGTCGAGCTAAGCCGTTTCCCAAAGGATACTGCGTACTGAGGATTATAGCTTTCGTTAATGTAAGGAATTGATATGTTTGATATCTCGTGTTCCATGATCCCCATCATTTGTAATTCATACATCTTGCAGCGAGTATAAAATTTTTGGGGGTTCGGTTTTTCTGAACCGACGTAGAACATACAGTCGACCCAGTGCGGCATCATGTAATACGTTTTAGAGACAGATGGAAATGTTGGCGGTGAATCGTAGTAGAGAGGGTCGGCTTTGTCTACATCAACCTCTGGTAGGGGGTTTGGGCTATGAGGTTTGGAAGCCTTAGCCCATGGCGTGGCAGCTCGGTTGTCTGCAGGCGATTCCCTGATAGACGGAGGGCGTGAATTAGGTCGCGAGAGCACATTGGTAGAGCGGACCATTAGGTTGCTTCCATTTGCGTTGGGCACGCTAAAATTTGACGGTGAGGCGCCAGTTCCATGTTGAATTGTCGGCAAAGCGTTAGAGTCTGATATTGGGCCTTTCCATCTGAAGAGTGGTACGATATGAGCGGGTATCTTTGAGAGGCATACCATATCTAAGCCAATCCCACCACTGATCATCCTTTCTGTTGTCAAGCGAAGTAGTTTTTTGTCAACATCAAATAACCCTGATCCCGGAGTGATCATAACAATTGACAATCCTGTCCTCTGAAGATCACGATCTACATAGTGTTTGTCAAGCGAATTAAGCGCCAGATTGATAGACTCTAGAACATTGCCTTCGAATGCAAATGAGTTTTCACCTGAAAGAATATGATATTGTCCAGAGGAGCGTAGCAAAATATCTCGCTGATATTTCATGATCTCTTCCTTAAGTGGAATAATGGCGGTCGTCCAATCTGTTCTTGCTTCCCAATCAACAACGACCCTGTAAAAGTCCTGGAAGTAACGGCCGTCGTCCCCTCTCTGCAACGCTGACTGGCCTCCAGGATATCCATCAATGCGAAACCGTGCTTCCTCCTCTTCTTGATAAAAGACTCTCGAAAAAAGAACGATCGAAACAACATGGTTGGTGGCTGACTCAAGCTCCGATTTGCCATCTCTTTTTCCTCGCCAGCGAGCAAAGAGGTTTGGGAGAAACCCAAAAATCACCTTTTCAAAGAATATCTCACCATCTTCATCAAATTCCCACATCTCACGCGACATTTGGATAAAGATGAAATATTTAGCTGACTCTGAGCGAAATATGATCCTTGTTTCTGAAGTGATATATCCACTAGCCACCTGAGGTTTAAAAAAAAAAAATTGTGGTACCCACAAATGACCAGTCAGCCAAATTTCTTCTTTTCTGAAGCAACAGTTAGTCGCGCCCATTCTACAAGCGCCAGCCTTTTATCTCGTACCGATTGGTTGCCAACATAGATCTCTTTGACCTGGGCTCTAATACACCCAAGGAACAAAATCTTTTTTGTCTCATATACACATGAGCCAACAAGACTGGTTCTAAGTCGCCACATGTCGCTTCGCCCAACGTATTGATCCCGAAATGTCAGCTCGACATATTTTGCGGCATACTGTGCTGGTTCTACCTAAGTGAGCATTGAAGACCATGTCAGTGATGTCAAGTTTAAGTTTTTATAGCTAATTAAAAAAAAAAAAAAAAAAAAAAAAAAAAAAAAAAATCTTTGGTAACATTCCCAACTTACCCTTTGCACAATGACATCCTGTCTTGGTAAGAGTCCGAACGCCTTGGCAATATTAGTGGCGATTGACACCTATAACATAATAAGTTTAGCTCAACCGAGTTATTTTCTTTCCTTCGTTTTTAAAAATAAAAAAAAGTGATAATGTCGGTTAACAACCTTACCTGAACAGGAGACTTAAGATGAGTGTCCTTATCAGGGCCAGTCCATTGAATGATCAATCTTCGAGATATATCTCTTGGTAATATGGGGTCATATATCTCAAATAGGTCATTGGGTTGAACATTTGGAAAAAAGGCTGGATCAATCAGGAAATCCCTTTTGGAGAAGTCGTCCTTGTGGACATGGATTTTTGTAGCAGTGGAAAGTGATGCTGAGGTGGATGATGATGATAATGGTGTATCGGTGTTGTTGCTGCCAATATAGGGATTTGGTGGGAGAGCTGATGGCCCTCGTGTTGGTCCTCCTGTGCCCGGCCCGCCATTTTGTCCAACACTTGATGTCGAATTGAACATGACGCAGATTCTTCTATTAACATTAGAAATACAAGAATAAGCTGTTAGAGAGAAAAAGGGAAAGGAAAAGAAGGCTAGTTCAGAGGAAAGAAATGAGGAAGCATTGTGTAGTTTGCATACAATGAAGATGGGTGATGTCAGATAGAATAAGCTACGTATTGTCGTGAGAAGATTGAGGGAAAAGGGAGGAGCGCCTTTCTTTGTTGTCGAGGTTAGTTCTTTTGGTGCCTCCTGGTTCCTTGGTTCCTTGGTTCCTTGAGACTCTTCCTCTTCCCTATCCCGAACGAAGGGTATGAGTGCAAATGGTCTCTTACAAGAGATAGAGTTGGGAAGGGAGAGAAAGAGAGACAAACGGAATATCAAGGTTTTTTAGCTGTTACACGCACACATGGGCAGCACATTCCCCAAAAAGAACCTGTCAGTGAGTGTCAGCTCCCTTTTTCTTTTCTTTTCTATCCCCATGTCTTTTTCCTCTTTCTCTTTTTCTTTTAAAAAACTTCTGTTGGGTTGACACGCTTGCACAAATCCATATTTACAAAACACGTTTATATATTATACATCTTTTACTCTTAGACTCTACAACTTTTTCTACATTTGACTTGATTCTTGCCATCATGAGTAGCAGTTTCAATTACGATTACATTATCAAAGTAAATCCCTTTTTTTAAGGCGCGCCTGTATTTTCTTTATCCTCGTTTCCGCTTTACTACTTAAATACATTCAACAAGACATTCAACACACATAAACTAATAACTGCTTTTAATTCACCATGTTGCGTGTTTACATGTTGCACTCATTATTATGTCTAGTACATCATTATCGGTGACACTGGTAAGCTTTGTTAAAAAAGACTATAATTCCTTCTAGTGTATACATGCTCTAGGTCTATACTGAATCTTCTGAACCATTCTTGTCTGGTCTTTTTAGGTGTTGGCAAGGTATGTCCCGCGATAATTAATAATCATAAGCATACTTGACTTTAAACTGCTCTGAGAAGAAACACATTGATATATTCTCCGTTTTATTTGTTGCCGTTTTTCTTTTCTCTCTTTCTTTTTTCTTTCTGTATTATCATTACAATAGTCTTGCTTACTCCTCCAGTTTACTGATAAACGCTTTCAGCCTGCACATGATCTGACCATCGGGTACGTTGCACATTATTATCACTTTATCTTCATTTTAGCAATACCATGTTACGTTAACGCTGTCTTCTCATCTATATATAAATATATATATATATTTTTCCAAAGAGTTGAGTTTGGAGCACGCTTTGTCTCTGTCGCTGGGAAACAAATCAAGCTTCAAATCTGGGACACGGTATGCTTTTCGATACAAACTAGCTCAAACTTTCAATGATGTTTGGCCTTGACTTCCAACCTCTAATCTTTTTGTTACTTATTTCAATTGCATCTTCTATGTGCCATTCCAAATAGGCTGGACAAGAATCCTTCAGGAGCATTACTCGAAGCTACTACAGAGGTGCTGCTGGTGCCCTTCTTGGTAAGTTCTTATACATTATCATAGCTTTTAAAAAACACCTTTAATTTGAGATTATTATATTTCCTCTGCAGTAACACTTGCAATTCTTTATTTTTGTCCGTTTGTTTGTGCTTGTTACAGTTTACGATATCACGAGGTAAGATGGCAGAATGGAAAATACTCGAAGTATTACATCTGAGAGGATATGGTCAGCAGGATTCAAATGGTTAATCTGAAAAATTGTCTCCTTTTGTATACTTAAAAAAATAGGAGAGACACCTTCAAACACTTGACAACTTGGCTCGAAGACGCCCGACAGCACGCAAACGCTAACACGACGATCATGTTAATTGGAAACAAGAGCGATTTAGAGTCGAAGAGGGCTGTTACATATGAGGAAGGCGAGGCTTTTGCGAAGGCCAATGGTCTTTTCTTCATGGAAACCTCAGCCAAGACATCTGCTAATGTTGAGGAGGTAACAAAGGCCTTGCCTTTTGTCTTATTAATATTTGTATTAATTCTCAAAGCTAAATGAGAAAACTGATCATTATGGACCGTTCTATATACTACCTTGCTGATAGGCTTTCGTAGAGACTGCAACCAACATTTACGAGAAGATTCAAAGTGGAATTTTTGATATTCACAATGAGGTAAAAACAAAAACCAACAAAAAAAAAAAAAAAAAAAAAAAAAAAGATGGATATTTTAATATATAAGTGACCTCAATACATCATTTTTTTTGAAAAAAAAAAAAAAAAAAAAAAAAAAAAAAAAAAAAAAAATTGTTAAATTTAGGCTCATGGGATCAAGATCGGTCCAATGCACACTGGAGGTTCCTCTCTGCCGATAGGTGCTGCAAACGGTGGCGGGGCGTGCTGCCAGTAATCAAGAGCGTGTATCTAATACTTGTTCTGCCAGAGTCTTTTCTTTTCATTTTACTCCATTTCTTACTCCTCTATTACTTAGCCGATCTTCACAGTAGTAAAAAAAAGATGAAAAAGTATGCGTTTGTCTTCGCGGTATTCACTGTCCAGCTGATCTCCTTACAGGTTTCTGAAATCAATCAGACTTTATTTTGATAAGATAAAATTGAGTGGAGGGTGAGAAAAGTGCATTTTGAAAATGTGTGTTTATTTCAGATCTTCTGTCACTGTGTGCTGTGAAGTGTTCCTG